AAATCTAGGAAGAGAGAGTGCCTTGCATGTTTTGAAACATAATTTTAACATAGCCTATTTTCTAGATAAAAAAGTAACCTAATTCTTCTTTTCTTTGTTGCAGTAATTTGTTAACAGAATATCAGAAGAAATGTGATGATATCCTTTTACTGGCTTTTTCTGTTGAATTTTAGAATTAACTTATGTCTTAATTCCTGAAAGAGATGTGAGAATCGTTTTTTATGCTCATCTTTTGGAAGGCAATATTTACAGCTGAAGTAGGGAACACTTCCTGCAAGCACAGTAAATAGCTAGTGCTTTCACTATTAATGCATGTTTAATGATAGATTTTAAAATGAGATCTAGCAGTCTTTATTTTGTTTTTGTCATTGATTTTGATTTTCTTAAGATCTCATAAGCTTTTTAATGAGTGGGTTTTTCTCATTTGTTCTGAGGATATGACATGTTTTTTAGGTTTAGGAATAATGTGAAACTGAATGTGATACTGTCTGAGTGTTGTTTTTGAATCTGCAAAAAGTGCACTGTGGGAAATCCAAAATGTTGGGAAATTGACTTTCGTTAATTGGTTTTGCTATTTGTAGAGAATTAGTGTGTATATCTGGAATCATATAGAAATAGTGTAATTGTATATTCACAAGAGAGTTCATAGGCATTCACAGGACAGTTCTTGGCCTTATATTTGATTAGTACCCATTTCATGAGCACCTGTTGTGCACTTAGACTCTGGTTAAATATTTTCTCAGCAGTGGGAAAAAAGTATGTGTAATCGATCTCTTCATATCTTATGGTGATAACACTTACCTTGATTTAAGTTTCTCCCATAAAAGTATCAAATTTCACCCATAAAAATAAATGTGCACATACCTTTAGGGATTCACCGAAGTTCAGCCTCATCTTCAATATTGGCACAGATTCAGCTGTTCAACTTTGGTAATAACCAGATACTGCTTCAGTATTGTTTCTGGCATACAAACTTATATGTTATCACCAGTTATTTATTTGTATTGGTACTGTCATATCTAATTTGTGTAATTAAAGTGATAAAATTAAGACATATCATTTAGATTTCTTTTTAGTATCTGAATTTCTACATTCAAAAATAGAGCTAATTGAAAATCTTATTTGCTTTATTTGTTGAAACAGTCCATTTAACGATAAATGCATATTACTGAAAGAGTATATCTTTGATTATGAAAGCTATATGGAAACAATTATTAAAACAATTTTTTACATAGCTAAATAGGGAAATAGATGGGCAGTTAATTCCAATATTAGGAGAGTATGTGTTCATTATATCATTTTTGGAGAAAAGCTGTAAGCTTTTTGAGGTAATTACACATGTACTGTACTACAGAATTATTGTTTTACTCTTCTAAATTTTGGCCACAAAAATTTTAAATAAAAATTATTAGAATTTTCTTTTAACTATATAAAACTTTTGATTATTCTTGAATTCCAGAAATTCATTCTGCAATAGGATATTAGGCTTCAGCTTCAGCTACAGATAAATACTTGATTTTCTAAAAACACGTTTGGCATTTGCCCCAAATAAGTATTTGTCATACCTCAAATATGCAGTAGTTTGCCCTGCAACTTGAAGTGCCAATGTCACAGCTTTAATATGTCTTTCTTATATAATTTGGTTCCTTTTGCTACAAAAGTACCAATAGAATTTCCCATTTTTTTCCAAAATGGGAAAGTTATTTCTTCAATAACTGCACTCTGATAATTTAGTATTACTTCAGCGCTTTACTTTTTTGTGTGTGATTCTGAATATTTTATTGTTTATTAATCACTGCTCTTTAAATGGCAGGGAATATATTTAATATTTTATTTCATCAGATATTTTTTGAACTTCTCTATTCTGCAAAGACTGCTGTAATTTAGGATGAATAAAATATAGTTCTTGACCTTGAGAAGCTTACATTCCAAATAGAGGAGGATGCAGATAATGTTTTTAGGAACATGCATATGCTATATTGTGATATAAACACAGGAATTTGTAGGAGATGAAACTTAAAGGAATTATCTTTTGCTGTCTTAGAATAATTTACTGGCAGTATGAGATGAGTTTATCAGATTGTATAAAGTACAAAACTAAGGGCTTATGTAGATTTTATATTCTATTTCTTTTCTAATTACTCATAAATTATAGTTATATATTGTTTTTGTAAGTACATAACTCTTGTTTGCTGGAATAATTCTCTAGACTATTTGAGAAATGAAGAACAGGTTGTTTGGGGATTCTGATATATTGAGAAATGAAGGTATTTTCTATTAGTTACATATTGTTTTGTCTTTATTCTTTAATTGTAATCAATCGTATATTTATTCAAAGGACTTTTTATTTAGAGAAATAAATGTTTTGACTTTTGGTAGATGTTATGGTAAAGGAATAACTCAGGAAAAAGACTTCTGTATTATACATGGGACTTTGAACATGATTTTGTAGGATTTGTGATCTTCCTTGTATGTACATTGTACACAGATTATTAAAGATAATCGTAAAGTGAGTTTTATCTCCAGACAAGTATAAGAAGGTAAAATTCTCAGAGTTTTCTTTAATAAGTTATACAGCTGCAGTTTGCAAGAAGGTGAGCCAACCTGTTTTCATAGTTGGTTATACCACCTGTTCGAGTAGTTGATTTGGGGTAGACATTTTTCAGAGCAGATTTTTAAATGAATTTGAACAAAATGTAAATAGGACTGACCCATAATATAGAATGCTGCTTTCATGCTCGTAATAAAAGATTTATGTTTTCAGTATCAAATTATTCAAATTAATTTATTACTGATGTCTTAAATTACAACCTGGTGTTTCATTTTTGAATAACTTTACATTGCCATAGAGATGATTTAAACAATTTAAAATAGGCCTACTTAAAGTTTTGGCAATATTTCATCCTCTCATTACATTTATCACTTAGAAGAAGGCGAAACATGGTTCTAAACTAAATCAGGAAATTGCCTAGTACTTATTTTGAATAAATGGGGATGAGTTCAAGATTGGAAAAGCCAGGATTTTTTGGCAGATTGTCCTCTAATGTATTCTTCAGCAGATTGAGCATCTACTGTATTTGTTTCTCAAGTTGATTTTTGGTATGTGTTTACCCAAAATGGACTACTATGCCTAAGAAATGGAAAGCAATATGACTATTATGTTGTATAAATAGAGGGAATGCATTTAAAAAAAGAGATTTTTTCATTCCTTTCCTTGTTCCAAGTTAGAAGTAAAATCTAAAATCATCGGTATATATATTTAATAACTCACTATAGATACTTTCATATAATAATGTCAATATACTGTCCATTTCTAGAGAGAATAGTACTCTGCATCACCAAGTGGAACAGATGCTTCAAAAAATTTCTCCTCTGCAGAAATGTCAGGAAGAACTGGGATCTTTAAAAGCAGAGTTAGAAGAGAAAAAGGTAACTAAAATTATTTTCTGAAAAGCTTTATGGTCAATAAATTAGGATCAGCTCATTCACTTTAACTGGGACAAGGGGAGTTTTTATGTGTTTAAAAAAGGAAATAAATGCTAGTCAAGACTCTTTAAGTGTATTACTGTCCTTAGAGAACATTGAACTAATTGATAATTGGCTTAGTCTTTACAGTGATTATTTGCTCTGCAGTACTGTGTCAGTTCCTATGCTTTTTGGGAGGATCAGGATCAGTAGAGGAAACTTCTAGCTGTGAATTTATATGGTTTTATGTATTCTGCATTAATTGCTTTTTCACATCTCTTTTGCCTTAAGTGTAAAATAACGTGCAAAAATTTCAACTTTAAAGGCAGAGGAATCATGTGTAAGAGAGTGCAGGAGAGAATTTGATTTCTTCAGTGGCTCTGGTCTAGCCCTGGTGAGCCTAGTGGTGAGAGAAGCCACGAGGAACCAAACATGATTACAAAAAAAAAAAAGAGAGAGAGAGAAATTTTAAAAAAAAGGATGAAACAAAGGTGGCAGGGTTATAGAGGTAAAAGTATACAGACATTGCTTGAAACATGACTAGTTTGAACTATAAGAGCACGTTCTTTAAAGGACATCTTAATGCAGACCAAGGCAGAGGCCCTGAGTGCTTCATTCACCACTGGGCTCCCCTTCTGCGAGAGATACACAAAATGAGAGTCTTTCAGTAATATATCACGTGCCCTTATAAGTAAGTGTTCAGGTTAGAGGTTATTTCCTGTGCTCAGGAGGATGATGTGTTTGATCTTTTTGGGTGATACTTATTAAGCTGAGATGGAGCACTGGGAGAAGATGTCCACTTCAGCTATGAAAATCTCATTAATGTATCTTTAAATGGAGGCTCTTCTTCTTTTCAAAGTCAAGTTATATTAGGTCATTAAATATGAAATGTCTGATATTGAATCAAAAGTTTAGTTTATTACATCTCAAACAAGAAGCAGTACAATTAATCAAAGTATGTGCCTAAATTATCGACGCAGTTTTGCCACCTTAAGGGTAGCTTATTTATGCCAGCAGTGAAGAAGCCTGGAGAGTGAGTGGCAATGAATTTGCAAAAGTCGTTTTCCACAGCTTGTTGAGAATTAAGTATTTTTCCTTGCAAGAGGTGGTCCAAAGCCTGGGAGAAGTGGTAGTCAGTTGTCGCAAGGTCTGATGAATACAGTGGATGACGGAGAGTTTCCAAGTCCAGCTTCTGTAATTTGAGCAGCGTTGTTTGTGCGATGTGGCCAAGCGTTGTCTTGCAAGAGGATTGGCCTCTCTCTAGTGACCAATCTAGGCCGCTTAATTGCAAGCATCCTCATCATTTTGTCCAATTGGTTGCAGTAGACATTGGTAATCGATTGACCAGGTTTCATGAAGTCGTAGTGGATAACACCAGTGCTGGACCACCAAACAGACACCATTAGCTTTTTTTTTTTTTGATGAATATTTGGTTTTAGACTGTGTTTTGGCCTTTCATCTTCATCTAGCCATTGTGCTGAATGCTTGCAATTGTCAAAAAGAATCTATTTTTCATCGTATGTAACAATACGGTGTAGAAATGGTTCACCTTTCTGTCATGACAGTGAAGAAAGGCAAGCTTCAAGAAGATTTCTCTTCTGGCGCTTGTTTAATTCATGCAGTACCCATCTGCTCAGCTTCTTTACCTTGCCGATTTGTTTCAACTGGTCCAATATTGTTGGAATAGTAACGTCAAACCTTGCTGCTAATTCACGGGTAGGTTGAGAAGGATTTGCTTCCACTATAGCTTTCAGCTCATCATTATCCACCTTGGTCTCAGGTCACCCACATGGCTCACTTTCAAAATTAAAATCACCAGAATGGAACTTCTCAAACCATTGACATACTGTATGTTCATTAGCCACATACTTCCCAAACACCTCGATGATATTTCAAGCTCTCTGCACTGCACTGGTTCCATGATGGACCTCATATGCAAAAATAACACAAATTTTTGTCTTATCCATAATTTAATAAAAATTGCTCTAAAAAAACGTGAAAAATGATCACAAGCCAAAACGCATGTTTGAAAGACTGAAGATATACTTTCACAATGGGAAAAAAACACAAGAAGTGTCATAGTGAAATGTCAGATATCAACTGTCAAACTTAGTACTTAAGGAAATCATACATTTCATACTTAATGACCTAATAGTAAAAGAGTTTGTTAAAAATGCTGTAAAATTGGTCTTCTGTATAAATTTTGGTTTATTCCTTATAGGAATCTTAGAAGAGAATTCATAGCTTTTACAGATAAAAAACATTTGAAGTTCATAAAGTTAGGTGGTTTGAATGAGACAAATTGTAGCCACCCTGGAATGGTTCTCATTTCTCAACCTGTTCTTTCTAGGCTCATTTCATGAGAATATTTGTGCCTCTCGGTCTTCCTCAAATTGTGCTGTTTTAGTAGTGATGTGTAGCTTTCCGAGATCTTTGACAGTACATATTTATTTTTCTATTTTGTAGAAATTTTGTTAGATGTTTATGCTGTTAAAGTTAAACCCTGATTATATAATTTCTTCAGCCATATTTGAGAGGAAACATGAGCATTGGAGTCATACCCTAATGATAATTAGAGTTATACTTAATAGTAAACCCTAACTAGTCAGTCAGTCACTGTGACTTTGGAAGAATGAGTCAACCTGTCAAACCCTCTGACTCCTTGTTTGTTAAAAAAAAAAAAAAAAGGGATAATAAAT